TCACGGCCTGGTGGCTTCACTGCGGAACGGCAACGGTCAGCGATGCTGCAAGCGAAGCAGATGTTTGAAGATGAGAACGTGAATTTCAGTCAATTCTGGGACGACATGGGTGGCATGGAAGGATTAGACTAGTGGTTTATCTTTCATGATCATGTCACATCTAGATTTCCCTCGACCTCGGCCTACTCGCCATGTAAAAATACTCTCTATATCTAATTTTGTTTCGACGTATGTTTCATAAAGCACGACCGGCACCTTACACCCTAAATCCTTTCAAGTAGATCGATATATTCAAGTGTAGATTGCATTGTTGGGTATCTGGACGAAATCAATGTCAAAAGCAAATGGGACGTGCAAGGATGCGCGGATGGCGGCGCGGAACGAAAAGAACAATGCAACGCCCTATTACTGCAGGGCTTGTTAAAAAAAAAAAAGCAAGAAAACAGTCTTATGGTGCGCCACCCTCAAGTCGATAATCAAGAGACCACAATTTCTCCCACGGGCGAGATCGTCGACGATCAGACGTCGACCGAACGGGAGAAGAAGCGGTGCCACTTATATTTGGTTGAGCGGATGCAGAAAGAGGACCCTAAGCCAAATGACACCATTAGCACCCGAGGCCAGATCATAAAAACAGACCCGGAAAAGACGGAAGATAAACAAGTCAATCCCTACTTTTCACGGGTCGGAGAGCAGGTCACGGCGAACCTCGTCGAAGATCGGAGCAGCCTCTCGAGGCTGCGAGCCGGCGTCCGCTTCGGTGGGGCGCACAAGATCAGTCGTGGATTCAACAGCATGCTGCGACGGCGTGGGGGTGCCCCGCTTGGAATTCGAACTCTCGCGGCGGCTATCTAAGCTTCTGGATAGAGTTTTGGCAATGGCGCCCTCGTCGGTACCCCGTTTGAGGCGGATACTACCCTTGGCATCGACGTGCGCCGATGCAACTGTGCTCTTCGCTATGCCCGGTGTAGCAGGTGCACCAGGCTTCTCTTCTACAGCCTCGAGGAGATACCAACGGAGGCCGTCTGAAAGCTCGAATGGATTCTCGTCGTCTAGAGAGGTGACGTCGCTGGCGTCCCCGAGGGAGCGACGGTCTGGTGCGACGCCGTTCATTGACTTGGAAAGATCTACAACTCTTTCCTCGATCTTGGTGATGCGGGCCAGGAGCCAGTCCCGAGCTTGTAGTTTGTGGGAATCTTGCTCGCGCAGGAAATAGTGCGGCGCACCCACGTTGAAGGCTGCCCAGGAGCGAATCGCCTGATTCCGTGTGGGAAGGAAGAGAGCAAGATCGCCTTCTTTGAAAGATCGGTAGGCAATCTTGTCATGAGCTTCGCTCTGAACTCGGTGGTATTTTTCACGGTAGCCTCGAGCTTCCTTTTGCCATTTCCGGGCTAGGAGTTCGATGTCCTTGACGCGTTTGACAACAACGTCACCAAATAGCGCCACGTCAAACTGAGCTAGACTTTCCATGAATGCTGAGAATTTGGCGTCTTCATCTTCCAGGGTTTCGGCTTTCATCCAGTCAAGAAGAGCTGTATCTGGCTTTAGGGATACAATGCCTGACTGGACGAGGCTTTCACCTAGGCCCACCGATGCACTGAGCTTCGAAGCACGCTGGACAACGAGTTGACCATCTTGCTGAATAATGGTGAAGCCTAATTGCTCGAGCATCCGACCCAGCTTCTCAACCTGTGCGAACAGTTGATTCGAAAGCTCGAAGGACTTGGTGCCCCGAGCTTCGAACCGTGCCACGGCCTGGTCATCGGTGTCCGAAGTGGCCCCTGCTTTCCTCTCCCATTCTGTGGCCTGATCTTTCAAATTTCGAGCTTCACTCTCAGCTTCCGCCAGTTTCCGTGACAGCTCTGCGTGTTTCCGTTCCTCTTCGGCGATCTGTCCACGCAGCGCTTCAGAGCCACTCTCTCCAGCAGCTATTTGAGATTGCAAGGAACTGAATTTAGATCGCTCTTTGTCCAGTTCACTGGTCAAGTCCTCCGACTTTGATTGCGCGTGTGAAAGCTCTGTAGTTAGTCGCGACAATTCGGACTGGCATTCGTCGAAGCTCTTTGCCCGCTCTTCTGCCTCTGACTCAAATTTGACAATTTGTTCTTCGAGGGCCTTGTTTTCAGCCATTGCCTCGGATGCATTCGATTCTGCGCTCTTCGCGTGGATCGAAAGACCCTCGGAGAGAACTTCAATGGCTTTGATTATGTCGGGAAGTTCGACAGGCACAATGCCCCCGGGCGAGAGGTTCATGAAGATAGCTTGGAGGGCCTGGTAACTATCTGAATGCTTTTGCTCCAACTCCGCTTGTCTGTGCTCGAGATCATCAATATTAGCCTGGAGGCTTTCTTCGCGCTCTTGCCGAGTTTGAATTTGTGCGTTAAGGTCAGTAATTTTCTGTGCGTCCTCGGCGGAATTGGCATGAGCATTTTCAAGGTCGACTTCGAGCTGGTGCATGCGATCGTCAATCTCTTGTCTTCCATGCTCCCTGCTATCCATAAGCCGATCAAGCTCTTCTTCCATTTCCTCGGTGCGAAGTCTGAACTTCTTCAACTCCGAGTCCAGATATCGGCGCTCATCTTCGAATTCGCGTTGGCGCGCTTCGAGGTTGCCTATGAGGTCCTTTTTGGTAGATTGAGCTTCTTGGTATTTGTCGGAGTTTGTTTGGCGCTCAGCATGAGCTTCCTTATGGAGTCGCTGGACCACATCTCTCTCGGCTGCCAGCTCTGCTTCAAGAGTAACAATGCGCTGGATGAGTGCTTTGTCTTCGGCAGACTGAGTGGCTGAGACTCGCCTCGAAGAGACGGATGACCGCCTGGAGAGTGCGTCAGGGTGTGGAGATGCAGGTGAACCAGGGAAGTCTGGGCCGAAGGTGCCGCTCGGTGGCCGGCTGAGCTGACTTTGACGATGCAAAAGGTCTTCCAATTTCCGGATACGACTGTCAGACCCCTTGAGCCGTTCTTCTAGCTTTGTTTTTTCCTCTTGCAAGCTACGCACGGAGTCATCGGCACGTAATATAGAGCTCCGACTCAAGTCAAATACGCTGCCTTGTTTGAACGCTTTGGCCCGTCGTCTTTGCTGCCGAGTGGGTGCATCCAGCTCCTTGAGTTGTTGGGTAAGCTGTTCCGCTAGATTGGTCAAGGAATGAGTGGTCTTTAAATCGTCGATGTAATACTCGATCTCTTTCCGAGCTACATCAGGCCATTCCTCATCCTGACCTTGAAGGTTGACTTCGATTCCTGGTGTGGTGGAATCAGTCACAGTCATGAAGTCTCCCATATTTTTTAGCCATTTTTTCCTGCGGCGTTGCTCTTCATCTCTCAAAACCGCCATCTCCTCAGCCAGCGTTAGGGAATCAGTTTTGATCTTATCACTCCATTCTCGCCGCCGCACGGATTCGATAAGAATCGACCCATACACCATTGGCATCTGAAAGACAGAGTAGATAACCTCAAAGGCATTACTCCCTACGTCCAGATTGACCATTCGTGCATGGGCGTCGGCCAGTCTAGACTCAAGGGAGGAGATCGTGCGCATATGTTCAATGGCTGCTTTCTCGGCGGCCCCCCGGCGCTGCACAGCATGCTCCAGCGCAACTTGAAGCTCGACGCTGATCTCCACCAGCGAAGGAAGAAGGTCCTTGGTATGGCTCAATGCAAGCCTTGATATATTGGCCAACGTTTTCTGATTGTTCGGCAGACTGAGAACATGCTCATAATCAGACCCGATCTTCTTCGCAATAGTCTCCACTTCTTCCAACAGTCCATCCACCTCGTCGAAATTCGAGGCAAGGGCCTCGTCCACCAGTCGTTGAGTGTCCGAGGCGATGTCGCCGATAGTTTTCTCAACGTCATGGATGCTACCAGCAAATGCCGACGACACAGTTGCTGCCTCTGATCCAGCCCGTTGAACCTCGCCTACGTCGACAAAGTCTCGCAGCGTTCCGGTTGGTCGATCCTTGTCCATTTTGGGCGTAGACGGGCGTCCAAGCAGAGGGAAATCTTTCCGCGCCGGGATGTTGTCCAGTGTGGAAAGAGCTCGTTGCCAGCCATCTAACGCAGCCTGCTGCTCTTCCAAAAGGCTATTTGCCCACGACTGTGCCTCCTGGAACCGATGCTCTAGGTTACCCACATGAGACTTGAGGTTCTCCAGAGCCACGCCCACCGCGCGATTTATAACATCAGTTCGTTCGTTATGTTCTCGGAGGTTTTTGTCAATTGTCTCACAGCGACTGGACAAGTCCAGTGCCCAGTTGCGCCGTGTCATATAGAGGTTCCGCCATGCCTGGAGGTCATTCACGTCTTTGAGGATAGCTGGCGGGGTACCGGGTCGGAATGGTTGGGGAGGAGGTAGTTCCGGAAATTTGACGTCGCCTGGTTCACTGACGTATTGTCGGTCATATACAAAGATCTCGTTCTGCGATGGTTGCCTACGAGTTAGCATATTTCCAGGCCATGATTGATATTGATAATATCGCACCTCGGTAGCGAGCGTTTGGATCTTGACATTCTTTCCCCGGGCGGTCATCAATATTTGCCGTGGAGGTGGAATGGATGTATGGTGAACAATCCATGACTTCAAAGCATCGGGACTATAGACGATAGACGGGCGTCAGCTGGAGTTCGGACAGTCCATTCAAACATAAATTAAGAGATAGTAGACACCATCAAATAGAGTTATTGAAGACTTACGAGGCAAATGCCACTGGATTAGCCAGGAAATGCTCCCCAGTGTGAGCAATGTAGATGTGCAACGACATTACCCCCCTCCGCACCAGGCGAGCTTAGATGCTCAGTAAGAGAGAAAAGTGAGAATTATTTCCTAAAGAAGAAGATACAAGGGAAGAAAGAAAAGTATGAGAGTCCTGAAGCCCCCGATCAGGCTGGTCAGGACGTTGAAGGTTGCGGAGCGACCTCGTGTGTGGCCGGGGAAGCTCGCCCACCGCCTCCGGTCTCATCTTCTTATCACCAGATACGTCCGCATTCATGAGATCTACATCCATGGCTGCAAAACATGGCCAGTCGCTGCCTCACCTGCAATCTGGTGAGGTGACACTACTAGATTATTCTGCAGATGACTCTCGTGATGTCGTGACTTTATCCGATAAAGAGGCCTTGGTGCTGCAGCTTTACAACCAAGTCCAGGAACAACAGCTAGAAAAGGCATTTCTTGAACAAGGTACATCTGATAAAAGCTTCGCTATGCTTAATTTTTAATTTTTTTTGTTCTTTTTTTGCTTTTTTTGCTTTTTTTTGTCTGTCTTCACTTCTAATCGCTTTCATCCTATTAGAACTGGAATCATTTTCGGGCGCAAATGCCGAAGAACAGCTCGCAATAGCAGAACGTGAGCTCCTTGAGGCGCGATCTACTTACACGGTCAGGAGGAAAGCCGTTCGCACTATCCTCATGACCGAGCCTATTCTCAAAGCTGTTCACCTGAAAGCCGCCACCCCTGCTGAGAGGTACGTACCCACAAAAAGCCCAGAAGTTAGATCGAATTCTAATAGAGGAATACGCAGAGCCCTTCTCTGTCTAGTGAATCGTCGCGATGTGCTTGCGCTCGCACATGAGAATCTTGCGTCGGCACATAATTTGGTGATGAGACAGCTCTCCAACCTAGAAGTAAAGAATCTACAGATCAATCGCGAAAACCAGGACCTGGTGCGCCAGCTACTAGAGCTCACGAAAGAGGATTCATCCTGGAGAGAGAAGCTTGAAGACCCCGAGCTGCTGTCGCAACTGGACAGTTTTGAAACAGATTTAAAAGCGCGCAAAGCTCAGTGGGAGACTATGAAGTCCATTGCAAGTGCTGTGGTTGTTGCCAGTGGACTAAATTGGGCCGATGACGACATGCTGCGCGCGTTGGTGCTAGATGAAAGTGATGACTGATGTTTTTCGTTTCGACGCGTTCTGATGCCCGTGTTTTTTTACGATTTTCCAATTCCGGCCCCTAACTGTACTCAAGAGCATAGGCGCTGCACAAAAATACCCAAGTCTCCGGAACATTCGATTTTTATCCTTAAGGAGGAAAGAGAAAATGGTAATTTTGAGCTGAAAATGTGGACCAGATAATAATTATTACCAGGGCAACATGTTAAGTCCATCAGTACTACAATAATGATGGCTATACACAGCGGTGTACAATACTCTGCGTCTTTAAAGTAAGGGCCTATGCTCGGATAAATGCATAGTTAACTAGCCCCCTTTATGATTAGTTAGAGATGAGATATAGAATGATTTAGAGCCCACAATACAGACGCGACTCTATGACGCTTTCCTGTCGGAAGGCGTGGAACTGTAGTACATTACAGGTGGATTAGCCCATACACTCAGTACTCCAATACTGCAGTATCAACGGTACTCCGTACACATACGGAGTAAAAAAAGGGACATCTTTGTTGACGGAACACCAGAATGTCCCCAGGTGGTCTATGCGTTTTTATGGATTTAGCAATCTCTACTCTGTACGGAGTACGTGACTTTCGATTTTGATCTGACAATCTGGCAACTCTAGCAAGATGTTAGCCTATAGAGAAGGCGTACTCCATAGTATCCGGAAGATAAATGAGATATTTTCGCGCACTTGGCGGTAGGCGCATGCTAGATAGAATATCCATGTTAAAGCCTACTCATATTGGAGGAGATATCCATTCTGAATTTAGCTTGTGATGATGGTGTGATCCGGCTCTGTAAGGAAGGAGTCTAAGCTTGATCATCTATTCTAAGACGTTCCACGTCCATACCGTTTTACTTTGTAACCTATCAGTCTGGGCATGGATATCCCTCGAGCTAAGAAAACAGCGATACCTCTATACCATATTCACCCATGCTTCTCACTCTAGAACACGTATGGCTCTTATCAACAAGGTAATCAACGTCAATATGTACATGTTTATGTACTTTAATGTTCCCTAGGTTCCTAGGTACCCGCCCAGCCGTGTTTTCAACTGGGGTTACGCTAAAAGGGTACGCCACGCTTATGATTGAGCAACCATCCGCCCTTGCCTGAAGATGATAGTTCAATACCAACACTATTATGTACACACATACCCTCAGGCGCACTTTGCGTCTGTGATAATTAGGGTTTGCATCATTACACAAAATCCTCAGCTGAATGATAATATCAATGGTTTTCACACCGAGCGCTTAAGTCGACCTTTTCTGAATCCTTGTTTTATCAATTAGAGGGAATAATAGTGCCAATGATCGTGAACTAGGCCCTGTTTTCTAGGGTTGTAAAGGTACCCCGTTGAAGTTAAGATGTACTCCGTACCTATGCATAACCTTGGGACTCGCGGCCAAAGCCATTATACGCTATACCATATGGAAGCAAGTTCATAATGTCCAATGTCTGTACCGGAGTACACAAGAATCGTGGCTCAAATTATGTTATAAAATGCTTGATTGTTACTTCTACCTCCTTCCGCATGTCTCTTGGAGGTGTTTTTCCGGGATTTTTATGACATACATCGTAGCCTACTTGGTACTTACAACAAACATAGGGCTGAAAGAGTATCGATGCCTATATTATTATTCAATAGACTAAATTTTGCGATATAAGCTACATCAATTCGATGGTAAACACCGATGGTAACAGGTACGGGGTACTTGCCGAGCAGACACTTTTACTATGATGTTACCGTGTACCGTATACCTGTGTACGTTTGCGCGGTTTATTAATATGACGGAGCGCAATCCACAAGTCCCAAGTGCCGGAATGATGGTCTCGTTTCATAACGCCGTATTGAATTCTCTAATTCATTCAACTGCCCACAAAGACTTGCCTATAAAAAATAAATTTTGAAAAAAAGAAGGTGTATGGATTTTATCCATTGCAAACAATATAAATGGAATTTTTTAAGGTAAATTAGGGAAATAATACGTAAATTTCGAGAAATCTGTTGCAAATAGTATGGTAGCCAGTGTAAATTACAAGTATTGAACCATACGTTTCTCTCAGCCAGTCAGCGAAACCAGCGAAACCGTGCTTGCCTTTCCCTTGCTGTGGCCCCCCTCTCTTTGCTACTACTACGGCCCTCCCCCCTCTACTCTTCTCTTCTCTTACTATCTTCCTACACTACTACAACTCCCCCATACAAAACTCCCCTTACAAAAAGGTACTGCATATCAACCCCCGAGTTCTATAAATCAACACTTCTGAAGCACATTTCCTCCACCACCACCACACCCCCTTTTTTCCCAGCTCTTTTGGTCCTTGGAATCCTTTATTTTCACCTCATTTCCTGTCTTTTTTTTTCCAATTTGCGCCGACCTTGCGGTCGCGCGCTACACCTTGATCTATGTTTTTGTCCACCTAACTAACATGAAAACTCACAGTTCTTTTTTTTCAACATATTCTAATTCGTGATCATCGAATTCATGTGAGTTGATCTTATCCCTATCATCTCGAAGCTTTGTTTTCCCTCGGTCGCAAGTGGTTGACTTGCGCGCGAAACGCGTCGAGCAAACACTCGCGTCCATCCTTCTCCCCTCTCCCCTCCACTCTGATTTCTTTAAATACTATGTCAATTGCGCATATAAATCTCCCCTTGACACAATTGCACCTTTTATTTCTCCAGCAATACACCTATTGTGGCAAAATTCCTCAGAAATCACATCTAACTTTAATCAGTCATCATGCCTAAGGAGACCACCACCAAGTCTACTCGCAAGGCCCCCGAGAAGCGCGTCCAGCGCCGCAAGAAGGGTAAGTCAAAAAAACTAAACCATCAGTCACCGGCTTGTACTAATTCACTTACTAGACCCCAACGCGCCCAAGCGTGGTCTGTCTGCCTACATGTTCTTCGCCAATGACAACCGCGACAAGGTTCGCGAGGAGAACCCCGGTATCAGCTTCGGTCAGTGAATCTCCTTCAGCTTAATTGTACCTCTCTAACATCCCTACAGGCCAGGTTGGCAAGCAGCTCGGTGACAAGTGGAAGGCTCTGAGCGAGACTGACCGCAAACCTTACGATGCTAAGGCTGCCGCTGACAAGAAGCGCTACGAAGAGGAGAAGGCCGCCTACCTCGCCAAGGCTGAGGAGGAGGAAGAGGAGGAATCCTCTTAAATGCCCTCTAGCTTCACTTCGTCTTTTGCCTCTGGGCGTTTGTGTTTCTCTAATGGTTCTCCTGATTTTTTTTCGGACGGTTTCATGCACGGTTTCTGGGTTTGGAGGACGGCTGGGGTTTACTTGCTTCTGAACTGTGCCTCTTTGCTCTTATCGAGGGTATTAAGTTATCAATGGGAAATCTCAACCTTTTAATTGGTGCCAACGTACATTCCAAGTAGCGTAGCTTTAAAACGATTGTAAGAAAAAAAAACAAGCAAGCGTTGGCAAACTCACTTGCTTGTTGGGGGTGATTCAAAAGTAAGCTTCGATCTGTTGTGCAAGGGGTTTTCTCCACGCTGTTCAGATTGACCTCACTTCAGCTCTGATCTTTGGCTGCCGAGCTTCGGGGAAGCTTCGGGAGCTCTGGAGAGCTCTTGGGCTTTTTTGCCCCGCAAAATCGCCGCGGGGCTCACCGCCTGCGTCATTCACCGCCACAATAATCCGGGGTCAAGCTCGAAGCTTAACCTTGAGTTTGTTTCGAATGCTACGGGAATCTTCCAAGCAACGTCGCTTCGTCCGCTAACCATGGACTTTTATCGGAAAGTCCCAAATCCATATCAAAGCGCATGTCAAACAAAAGTCAGCAGAGAGCCATGACCGTTGATCACAAAGCGTTATCGAAGACTACGATGGACGAAGAACCTACAGCTGCCTGGAGCTGGTGGTTCGTGAAACTCCGACCCTAAACCCCTGAATCTCACTCTGAAGATGAAAGCCCCGAGATCCTGTTGGGGTCTTTGGGGAATGGCCAGAATCGCCAATATGTCCTTAGGGCTAGCGCAAGTGAGTGCGCGCGGGGCATGCTTATGCAATATGAGCGGGGGTACGACGATCCGATTGCGACATAACACAGTGCGATTATACGCGGAATGTAACGATACGTTACGGGCGCGAAGACGCAGACATGGTGATTACTACGCAAGACGGTTACACTTTGGTCTCACGATGAGACAGGAACACAGCAGGGCGACAATACGGTGATAACGGTTTCACCACAACGCAGGACTCATGGGGAGCTTCAACACTACTGGCGCAAGGTAATAGGTCAATTATATGGAAGCCTTGAAGCCGAGATACACCGGTGAATGGACACGCTTCGGCGATTTCTTTGCAGAGGTTTGCTGGGCGTCATACATCAATCTCGATTCATGGGTTGTTATGCATGTCGACGATTGTCCAAGCAAGAGTCGAGCAGTTGTCTTCAATACTGGTGCATCCTGTATAAAGCCACCCTCTCGCGAATGTATTCACGAGTTCCAATCAGCAGCATATACTAGGTCCGGGACTCCTTGATGCGTTGGTGGCTTTCAATGAACTCATCAACGGAAATTCTGTCATCGCGGTGATCCAACCCATGTTTATAATGACCTCGGTAAGTGTCTATCTACTCCTGAACGGGATTTTGGTGGACTTGTCGAGTCACATGGACGAGCATTATGCATTCGGGCTGATCCCGACCTTGTTGTGTCGGCATGGCCTCGGTGTGCCATTTGTTGGGACATACATATCAAACCACGTTACCACGATGACTTCGGCCATGAGGGTGCGGTGGCATATACGCACCATTCAACGAGCGGTACACATGAATGTAATAGTGAGTAAATCACATATGAATGACTATATGATCGACTACCCCGGTGCAATTAGAAACCTGCGTGCAATTAATCGCGAAGTATGTTCGCATTCTAAAGCTTTGTAGCCTGCGCCGATCTTCGATGCCCGACTTCAGTATATAACGCCGGTTTCCATAGTGACAGTCTTGGCCCCAAACAGCCCTAATAAAGCTCGTTTACGCGAGTCATGTTAATATTGATGTTCTAGCCCGTTCTAAATCCAATATTTTTATATATATGTATGTACACGCCGGATTCTAGGCCGCGGGTCGATACGTTTTTTTTCGTTTTAGTGGTAACCTGTCAACTACAGAACCCGGCAAAACTAACAGTTTCTCTTGACCGCATCCCACTCCCACTTCCGCCACATAACCAGTTTCTTAGACTGCAGTGGTCATCGGTGTTTTCGATGGCCTCAATTTGAAGAGGAGGGGAATACACAGAGCTATATTCCTTCAGTCTTGGGAGGTCATTAAGATCTTGTGCAGCAGGGCCCTATCGTCGGTCCCATAGAATCTAGCGCCGTCTGTATTTCGAAGGGCAGTTCCTAACGTTTCCCAGGTTTTTTCAACTCGAGGGGTGTGAGACCCGCTATATGGCATGATTCATTAGAGGTGTGGAGTGAGGGAGAAGGATATGGTGTAGACCCTAACGTGGTAGATGCTTAGCGGCGCTATATATAGACTTTGAGCTGTTCCGAAAAAGGAGCGTATTGAGCCAGAGACCTCGAGCCGAAGATAAGCTAATCAACTTGGTAGCATTTGCTTTTTAGTACTCGTGAATACTCGACTATATAACCTATTCCCTCTTAACAGATTCCTCTTTCTCGATTTTCGTGCAAGTCTTCACGTGGAAGCGACCATATTCAGGAACCAAGAGTTTTTCCACTACTCCATACTCCCTGTACTTTTTGTCCCAAGGCGCCGTATCCTATGATTGGTCTAAGTGAGGGGGCCATAACCAGGTAAGACTGAACGGTTCTCCACATTTAGGGCTGGGAAATACCCTGTGAACCATGGAATCTGAGTCAACCTTATAGCTTATAAGAGTATACCTATATACATATTCCCCAGGTCCTCTATATCCCCAACAAGCGGTCTACGATTGAGAAAAAGAGAACGGGTTGAAGATGACGAAGAGACCAGGACTCCACTAAGCCCCGCCATTCGCGCGTGAACACGTCAGGTCTTGGACGCAAGGGAGAACCCTGAGAGAGCCGCATGGGCAATTTTTTTTTTCCTTGTTGTCTTTGTTAAATAATCTTAATTGTTCACATGTAAGCTTATTGGCCTATTTAATTCCTATTTTTTTTTCCGTAGCCCCTCCTCGAGAACCCTCCCCACCATATCCCTCCCCCTCCCCCAAAAAAAATAACCCTCCCAAAGCCTTATGGCCTAACCCTGTGGACTATAAGATGGCTCAGGCTCTGCGCGCATCTCGTCAGAGCGCCGACGACGTGGCGGCCGGCTTCTATGCATTCCGGGGTCCCCTCCCAGAACATGTGGGCGAAATCACATCGCTCATGTCCGAGTTATACGCAATCAGCTCATCCTTGACCACCTTGGAACGCCTAGCTGAAGATCCCCGAAATCGGCGTTATTTCGAAATGATCAAACCCGATTTGAATGTCGTGCAAGCCAGTTTCACATATACAATCGAGGATATCGGCGAGATTTTCAGAGGGCTCGATGGCCCCGATAATAGTTTGGCAAGATACAGACGCACTTGGGTAATTATGAGCCGGTTCTTTTGGGATCAATCAAACTATACCCTGGCCACCCGTCTAGCCAAGTATAAGACGGTCTTTAAAGAGTTCAATGACTTGGTAAGAGAGTAGGTGCTCCGCAAAAAAGGATCCAGTAGAAAAAGCGCACGTGTGTATATATACTCATTCACGGTCTTTATTAGGGGCCACTATACCTCCTCCCTTCTTGTGGGCCTTGTCGATGGCTTCAAGACTTTACTCTCCATACAAGATGGCCGGTTTGCTGCGCGCTTTGAAGGCATGACGCTCCGTCCGAATGACTCCCCCACCGGCAACCGCACGAGTCCCCCGAGCCCGGTTAGGGAGCGCCCGCTGAGGGACCGCCCAGTGAGAGAACATCCAACGAGGGAACATCCAGTGAGGGAACATCCAGTGAGGGAACATCCAGTGAGGGAACATCCAGTGAGGGAACATCCAGTGAGGGAACATCCAGTGAGGGAACATCCAGTGAGGGGACACCCAGTAAGAGAACACCCGGTGAGGGACCGCCCAGCGAGTGACCGGAATGCACGACGGCAGAGGTCATACGAGCGTACTCGACCGCCGCATATGTCTCCTCCGCCGATGTCATCTTCCTCCACCACTTCTTCGGATTTCCCGCCTTCTGTACCGGATATCCCACTCTCGCCGCTTACTTCTGCATCTGCAACGACGGCTACTAGCCACTCCAGTGACCCTGATGTTATCAGGGAACACTGGGCCAAGGATACATTTGGCTCTAGTGGCACCAGCACCCCCTCTACCATCTGTCAGAGAAAAGTGAGTTATCGATGGGTTGATTTGCTTTTTGGCATTTTGCTAATATATTTGACAATAGGTCACACTGCTGCGGAGAACCTTATCCGGGTATTAAACAATTAATTAAAGACAAGGGCTTCGAGGAGCTCCTTCAACTGCAAGTTGGGAATATTTACCTCTCTGGAGCATATGTTTTAACACAGTATAGATCTCTGAACGACGAGTCCGATATGCGCGTATCCTTTTACTTAAGAAGAACAGACCATCGCGTCCGAATCCTTTGCAGGGAACCCCACCGGACGGGGCCGAGTGACTACTACTGCTTGCCGCTTAATTTACTTGAGATCTTGCGAGATGGCTCTTGTCTCCGAATATGCAGGCGGCGGAATCGCGGAACAGAGCTTGTTCTATGGACGCAATTGAAGTTCACCACATTGGAAGGTCAGTGATGCCCATCTAAAAAGTCCGCGTTAACTATCGAAGTGACATGCTTACAGCTTTTATTTTGCAGATCTAGTGCTATTCCATTGCACATTCGTTGCCTTGCGCTCCCAGGATGAAGGCCACCCTGTCGGAGATATTTTAGACTACGAGCTGGAGCAGGAAGAAGAATGCTTTGGAGGGTAAGTAAATCATACCAAGAAGGGAAATCAAGTGCACAGAGGCTGACATCTACTAGCACAATCACCGACGATGACTACGTGCACGCGCTGCGCGTATACAAAGACACGGTGACAGGAGCTGTAAGACTCCAATCGTCAATTCACCTAGGCGATTTGAACCAGTATGTAAACTGTCGATTGAACGAACTAAACATTGAATGGCTGGTAACAATAAACGCAGTACGCCCGTCTGGACTGCGTTTGTCACTCACAACCTCGGGAAACGCAGTTGGCTTAAGTCGTACGATTCGAAAACGGTGATTTTGCGTGATGTCAAGCCTGTGATATTTATGTCTATGGATGATTATACACCCCCGCAGACGTCTCATGGACAACATGTCCTCGAGTTCACAAGCTCTTCTGGTAAGTAGTTAGACCTGAATGGAACCCGATCTCGAGTATTTTTGACTGATTGGATTTTGGCTAGATGCCAGGGAGTTCTTGAATATCATGGAGGAATTGGGCGATTGAGTTATGAATGTGACTGTGGGGGGGGGGACTTACAGTTTATAATTGGAATCTCTGTTCTGGCATAATGAGTTATGAGTTATGTTGATATGACTGCGATGATTCAAGATTTCAAAATCCGTGGATTGCCTTCTAGTAGTCCCGATAGTTGTGTCCTTCTTTGGATCTTTTTTTTCTCTCGTACAGTAGGCTTCAAGCTCTCTGCTTCAAGTTCTCTGTCGCCATAGCAGCCCTACCACTGGCTACGCTGTACATCTAAATAAAGTACCCTACATTCCGAGATCCTCAGAACCATTGAAATATACAAACACATAGACTATATTCAATCAAATGCATTCAAATGCATTGTTTGGAGGTAAAAGTGCAAGCTAACTAATGAGGGGTATCACACATGCAAAAGGAAAACGCAAAGTAGGAAGCAGAAAGCACGTTGTCAATCAAAGCGCGGGCAATGGGAATGTGGCAAGGTATCACTTGGCCACCGCGGAATACAAGGAAGAAACCTAGGAAGTCTCCTTATCCGTGTCCATTGTAGATTCGGCGATATCGTCTGGGTCAGGATAAATCATGACCATGTACCGTCGCCACAGTGGGCATTTAGTTCGGTCATACGGGGTGTCTGACTCAGGGTACAACCACATCGAGGGCGGTGGTTTAGGTGGAGGTGTGGTTTTGGGCTTAGGGTTGCGTTCGGCTTCAAGGTCCTCCAGGCGCCATCGCTCCCTCCTCTCTTCCTGAAGTCTGTTGATTTCTTTGATTCGCCACTCTTCATGAGCCTTGCGCTCAGCCATCCGTTCCTCGTCCGTTTTCCGCTTGAATAAAGTTTCCTCTCGTAGAACTCGGAGGTCTTCCATCTGCTGCTTGCGCTCCTCCTCATCGGTGGAGAAGGTATAGAATCCAGTTCCACGGTTGCGAACCTCTGCTTCGGCGTCGTAATGCTTCTTCTCCGGAGGGGTAGGCGAGCGGTCACGACGAGCAGCGAGGTGGGACATGTGCGACGCAATGTTGGCATCGGGATTGAAGGCTTCAGTCTGAACGGCCTCCCCGTAAATCAAATTTTCAGGACGAGCAGGGCGCCAGCGTTCCTGGGCAGCTCTGCCACCTGCTTCTTCCTCCTTAGCGCGAGCGGCTTCGGCGGCTTCGGCGCGAGTGCCACGGCGAGAACGGCCAAGATCGTCTTCATAGGAAATAATCGATGCATTGTCATCATCTAAATCATCTTGCTTGAGCGGCTCCTCGTTTGCGTGCTTCAGATCGAAATCAACCAATACGTCTTTCTCCTTGCGTCGTAGTCGGGCTAGGTAGGCGTCCGGGTCGGATGGATTAACTGGCATGTCATCATCATCACTGTCACCGGCAAGATGCAGTCCCTTCTTCATATCATCGTAAAGGCGTGCCTTTTCCTGCATGCGGCGTCGAGACCGGCTCAGCGTGTTGGCGTCAACGGAGCCAATATCCTGAGTGCTCCTGTGGACTTGCTTAAGCGCCCTGTTGTCATCTGCGAGATCGGCAGCTGCGCGCTTCTGAGTTCCTTTGTTGTGCTTTGAAAAGATATCTGACTTCGGATGCTTGGAGGGACGGTGGCGCCCGCGCGACGAGGCCGAGGTCGCATCTTGGGCGATGAGTGAAGAGAGCTGAGAGGTGAAGGCGAGGCTTGAAGAAGTGGTTTGCTCAGTTTTGTTCTTTTTCGAACGGGGTTGCCCGTAAAGGGAGTCCTGATCAACAGGCATGATGGTGAGAACGGGTACGTATTGTGTAATGTCAAGAAGTAAGTTGCCAGTTTCACGGAAGTTCTACGTCCTACAATGCCACCCGCTTATCGATAAGCCCGATGGGTCAATCTACACCGCCAAATCCTTGGAATTCATTTTCTGCCAGTCGTTGATGACTAAGGCCGATGTTCGGGGCAGCCCCGCACCCCCACTACTCAGGTGAATCGATCGCGTCGTGACTCAATTGATCAATCCTTTAATTTTGATATAATATTGAACTCTTGGTTGAGAATCAGAAGGTTAAATTGATCGAAATAATCAAGAAAAATTTATACAATCAGCATCATGTCCGCTAGCCCTATCTACCTTGGTGTCATTGGTAAGTCACCCCCACTACTGAGCTTGGAAAAGTCCGAGTCAATTGAGTACGTACTAATGATTTGATGAATCAGGAGTCGGAGGCGTTGGCACTGCCTTCCTCCAACAGCTTGCTCGTCTCCCCAATGCGCCTCAGCTTGTCGTCCTTGCCCGTTCCTCCCAGACCCTCCTTGCTCCCACTCCTGCCTATTCGCCCGCCATCCCCGCCGCTGACTGGGCCACAGCTTCTGCTGCACCTTCTCTGACCAAGAGCGGCGCCCTCCAGGCCGAGGAGATTGCCACATACCTTGCCGCAGCCCCCGGCCGGGCCATTCTGGTCGATAACACTTCCGATATTAGCCTCGCCCGGCAATACCCCACATTCCTCAAGAAGGGCATCTCAGTGGTGACCCCCAACAAGAAGGGTTTCTCCGATGACCTGTCCCTGTGGAAGGATATCTTTGCCTCTGCAGCTGAGGGCAAGGCGCTCGTGTACCACGAGAGCACCGTCGGCGCCGGCCTTCCCGTGTTGTCCACCTTGAAGGACCTGGTGGCCACCGGTGACGAGGTCACCCGCATTGAGGGTGTCTTCTCTGGCACTCTGTCCTTCCTCTTCAACACCTTCGCCCCTGCATCAGGATCTTCCGATGCTCAGTGGAGCGCCGTCGTCGCCCAGGCTAAGGAGCTGGGCTACACCGAGCCGGATCCTCGTGATGACCTGAACGGCATGGACGTTGCCCGCAAGCTGACTATCCTGGCCCGTATTGCTGGTCTGGAGGTTTCCCGCCCCGACTCTTTCCCCATTGAGTCACTGATCCCCGCTGAGCTCGAATCTCTGCCTTCATCCGCGGACGGCATTACCCAGTTCATGACCCGCCTCCCTGAGTTCGATGCCCAGATGGCCAACATCAAGGAGACTGCCGAGAAGCAGGGCAAGGTTGTGCGCTACGTTGGTAGCATTGATGTCGCTGCCAAGGCTGTCAAGGTCGGTCTGCAGTACTTCGATAAGGACAGCGCTATCGCTGGTCTGAAGGGCAGTGACAACATTATCAGCTTCTACACCAAGCGCTACGGTGCCAACCCCCTGATTGTTCAGGGTGCCGGTGCCGGTGGTGATGTTACTGCCATGGGTGTTTCGGCCGATCTTATCAAGGTTGTCGAGCGCCTGCGCTAAATGTTGAGTCTTGGAGACCTAAAAAGATAAAACCCAAAATATGACAATGCATATAAAGTATAAAGAAACAGATTTCATTTACCTCCAAGTCTTGTGCCATATCTACTCTTCGTAGTAACCATTCTGCTCGTGTGGATGTGGATCATGCTGATCCTTGCATACTAGTATTTCCCTCGTTTTCTGAGAACCGAGTATGCACTATGTTTATACTAAGTACGAGATCTCTCTCTCTCTCTCTATATCTAACCTTTGACTTATAAATTAGGCACAAATGATATAATGGTATAAGTGGTATATGCAGTGGTCTAGGACCTTAGGAAGTCCTTCAATGCTTCCCCCCACACATCTCCCCTCTTATAAGTATGCATTTTTGGCACATTCCCCCTCTTCAGGCCATCGACCGCATTCGCCAGATCCTCACCACAACCCTCATCCTTAATCTGCCTAACCGGATATGTGTAAGTGTGGACGGTAAAGACAAGAGCCTTGGATACCGGCAGCCGATGTAATGTCTGACGCTCACATCGGAGAACAGTCTTTAATATTATCAGCGCTACTCCAGCAAATCAACTTCCTCACATCCAACATACCTGATCAACATTCAATTCCCCAGGCTCAATAGCCTCCTCCTTTTCCCCCGCCACAGCATGTGTTCCGCTAAAAGCAGCAAATAGCTCCGTTTCAATGGTAATACTCCAATTGATTCGTTTCACAAATTTCCCAACCTGAAGGCGTCCAAAGAACCTATCCATGCTGAGCTCCATCTTCTCCCGATAGCCCGGGACCGGCACATGAATATCTGCTAAACGCAGACCGAGCTTCTTGCGCGTGTTGAAGCCAGCCGGGAAACAGACCGCATATGCCTGTAGTACATATTTCGGCTGTTCCTCGGCATTGGGTGAGAGCTCAGGGAGTAAGATTAGGAAATCATCGTCTACTGTCTGAGAGAGGATTTCTAGGGCTTGGATTGCTGGCGTCGTTGGTGACAGGGTTGTTGGCCATGTTGCGCCTGTTACCAGGTTTTGGAAGATCGAGCTTTCGGCGTTTAGCTTGAACATACTCGGGTATCGGGTTGGTAGGTATGTCCTCAGCACAAAATTGTATAGCTCGCTAATGGTGGGGCGGATGCGAGGGTCTTCCTCTGGGGTTTGATCGTTGTTGATTGCTACCACGACATCATGGTTCTGCTCCAGTATGGACTTGCGGATAGCGAGTCGGTCCTTGTAGGTTTTGTCCATCGGGAGGAGCTCTGACGGATCGAGGTTCTCAAGTGCTAAGATGCATTAGTCTAAATGTGTGTCAAGTGTTGTGATATAGCACATTTGTATAAGATCGGAGGAGGGGACTCACCCATGGTCAAGTTATATTTGTCTTTTCCTTTGAATGGCCTAAATTGTAACTGCTCGGTCTCCTCCCAATTGAACCCCTCCAGAGGTATGATTGGCGTTGTCTTATTATCTGAACAAGTTGTCTTCGTCTTCCTGTATGCATTATCCTTGCGATATTGTCGAACCCTCCACATGACACCACACAAGCCCACGATAAGAACATAGAGCAGATTTCTGGAGATTATGGGCCATGGTGCATCAATGTTTAGTTTGTATAGGGTTTCTGCCATGTTCAAATCGCTATGGAGTAGATCTGAGCCGTTGAAGTTTACAATCCTTGCTCAACAGAGAGTTTTATGCTCAGAACAACTACTTCCTCCGCATGATCTCCGCACGAGAAAGCGAAGTTGCGCTGGAAACTTTATGTTTGGGCTTATCTCTCTCCACTTTGACTGGCTGGACTGTCCGTCGATGTTTTCTGATTGACTCACCAGGCCGAGATGGTCCTGCGGGGTTGGCACTTTGAGATAAGATAGTTGGGGTATTATTAGATAGGGAAATCACTTCCTAATATCGACTTTGTGTAATAGATTATACTCTGCTATTATTGTACAGTCTTCGATGTAGTATAAGTCATGTACATGCAACCTTAGAAGACCCACAGTGTTGCACGATTCGAGACTGAAGGACAATAAGAGAAATGTATGTTTACTCAATAGTCAAAACGACATAAGCCACAAGAGACATAACAATAACACAAGATCGTAAACATCATCACAAGAGGAAAGAAACTCGAGCATCATATCTGCCCCGAGCTCCTTTGTTTCAAGACACCATCTCCACTCAAATGTGGATTCAATGTTTGGACAACAGGGCTCACGTTCTCCTTCCCAGGGTCATCACGATCTCTCTCCCTTTTCGACCACGGCGAATCATCTCGATCTGCCGCCTCGCTGTCACCGGTATCCATCTCCACGCCACGCAGTCCAAATGCCCGCCGTTGCCCGCCCGGACGTTCATTCAAGCTCGGCGCGCGAGGACGCTGTCGACCACGTGCTCGCCCACCAATCCAGGGGACTTCCCAAAGGATCAGTCGATATATCCAGATGGTTGCGTCGAGGAATACGAGGAAAGCCCATGGGCCAATTGTGATGAGACCGAGGAAAAACTGCGGAATCCGGGGTAGTAGATCAGTAACTGCGTCATAGTGAAGGGGGGTAAGGGCTAAAGGCGGGAGAGGAAAGGGGAAACTCACGAAGATGCGAGCTGCCCAGCTCTCGAGGTGGGTAAGCTCCGATGGTAGGATGGAATACCACGCCATTTTGGTGTGGATTTCGAGTGCTGGGGAGCCCTCGGGAGGTTACGGTTGCTGGTGGGTTGGAGCTGTGTCAGTGCTCTGGCGCGGTGCGACTGGGCGACTCGGTCCACCCTTGTTGACAGCTCCCTTTTCACGGTTGCTTCATTTTTTAGAGTCACCTCAAACGCTTTTGATTCTCGGTTGGTAAATGAAATGCAAAGAATCAAATTGCACTTGCTCAGCTTGGATTCCACGATTAAGGTACGGTACTTCGATCTAATTGGCTGGACCCTGGAAACTCACGTGAGCAATTATGGCCTGACAGTTCGGGTGTCTATCCATCTCATGAAATACAATCCTTACCATCCTCTTCCACTCTTTTTTATTCTCGAAGAATATACCAATCAATTTAGATTGGTCAGATACCAGAGTAAAGTTGGGTAGGTCTGTCTAAACATCATACTTCCCCCAGGTAATACCTTGGTATCCCACTGTTCTTCGACCACTTTCTCTGCATCATGCCCTCATAACATTTAGTCCTCAGCATGCCTTTGGAGAAGTAGACTATAGTCTATAATCATCGAGATAATAGTAGTGAGATATATGAACCAAACTCTTCTTATCATTTCATCTAAGCAAACAAGAGACATAATTACAGTATATCTGAACCTGTATCAACTTTCATTCCGCGTGGCACTAACGGCAGCATCCTCCTTTTTGACATTTCTCATCGGCATGGGAAGATCGCAAATGCTCATTCAATTTGTCCCTTCGACCGAATGACATATCACACGACGGAAAAGAACATTTGAATGCACCAGGGGATATGTGCTTCTCTTTGATGTGCCGCCACAACGATGTATCACGGGTGAACAGGCATGGGTTTGTGCAATCTTTCCAATCACATTTGATAGGACTGGCGAGGCCTCTCCTTGGGAAAATTCGTTAATATAGAGAAGTGGAGAAAGGATAGAGACTTGTATCAAGGAAACTTACTTGATGTTTGGTTTAGAGCGACGTCTACGCGACGTATGATCATCACTTGGACTAGCCTCACAGGTTGCATCTTTCAAAGGGACTCCTACTAGGGTTGAAGATTGCCCCTGTTGATGGCTATTTGAGCCAGAGTGTTCAAATTCCATGCAAGAAGTGTTTATCGTATTCTCTGCCCCAGCTGGCGAAGAGTTGTCTCTGACCCATCCAATGGTAAAGTCCATGCCAATTTGAGGGGACTTAACAGGGGTGCTGAGGCTGAAGCCATCCAAGGTCCATGGGGATTGCATATAAGGATCATAGATGGAACTTGAAAATGGGGGATTCTGTTCGAGGTAGGGAAGTGTGCTTTGGGGTGTGGTTTGAACAACGGACGAAGTATGAGCAAGACCCTCTCCCTCTAAAGGGAAGGCATGAGAGTGTTTGTCGGGAAAAGCGCGCATCATGACGAATGAGATTGACAAAAGTAGACAAATCAAGTGACTTGATATATAGAGAGGTTTGAAACACGAGTGTATTTCAAAGGAGATGCTAAAGTCAATATCTAGGAACGGGGGGGAAGGGTTTAAATGATAAAAAATCTGGGAAAAATATTGACATAGGAAAATACATAGATATTATTCTATTTGACGATTTGTCCTTAGCATCCACTCACCCACTCCATTCATTGCCGTATAATTCTGTTTTCTTTTTTTTTCCTGCTATGTTATTTTGGTATCATGGCGCTCTTAATACCAGTAATACAGAGCATGCATACTACCATACATAGTATAGTATAGGATTGCATGGTATAAGCCCCTGATTCAATTCAATGCATACTACGGAGTAGCTAATCCATGGATCTATTGATCGCTTTCAAAGTGGGTAGGCGAATCCCACCTGTAACTATATACCTTTGTACCAATAGTTAGACGGGGAGGATTGGAGATCAAGGACGACCAGTTACATCTATTAGGCTTACGGAGAACCGCTCCGTACAGGATTAATATTTAAAGAATCTTTATATACGTATGTACCGAGTACAGAGCGTCGGATCCACCGATCTTCTGAGCTCTTCCAATAGAATCCCTTCAATTCTCGTATGACACTTCACATCACATCACTTTCACTTCACTCACTTCACTCACTCCATCCGCTCCATCCACTCCATTCACTTCAGCTGAAGATATACACTACCCCACTATTTGAGGCTCTGGCAGATATGTAAGTAGTAACTAAATATATAACTAGTCAGTCATATTCTCTCAGATCTTGAAATATGAAAAGGCTAAAAAGCTCATATAAATTCCACATTGCCATCCTGAATTCTAGGTACTCCTTGAACGAAATATTCCCATCTACTTGATAAGTTTTCTGTCAACATGGGCTCATTGTCACTCCATAAAGATCATATATCGAGGCCTTGTCTTAATGAGAACTCCCATATTAAAAGTCTATCGTTAGAATGTCAAGTTTTCACCCAACTCTGCCTGTCTTTTCTCTTTTTCTTTTGCATTCCAGGCCCATAGCGCGCGTAGCGCGCGTCACTATATTGTAGTTAGCATAGTCTACATATTGCTTCGACAGTTACATCCCAGGCAGCATAATGCGTGTACATTGGCTTCAAACTATAATCTGCCATATAACTGAGCCAAGCGCCCAATATACCTACCGGGTATTGGTACGCTCCAGGGGATGCAATATTTCACCGGATACAAGATCTAGAAATCAAGTACCTTTTATATGATTTACCCATACAAAAGGTACTTAGACACCCCGTAGGTATAACACACTTTTTCTCAGCCCTCGAACTAGCTAAAGTAATAGGAATTGTAGGAATATATAGCGCCAGTATAGCTTAATTAACTTAATGGTAGTATTAGTCTTGATATCTAATATGGAATAATAATTATTTAGAAACGACGCTATATATATAATGGTTAGATACCCAGATGATTTCTTTGTTTTTAGTACACTTAACATTCCTTACTAAAGTTTTATTAAATAATATAGACTTACTTCACATCATATATATCTTCTTTATCTTCCCTAACTGGTTCGACGGCCGAGAAAAAGCGTGTTATACCTACGGGGTGTCTAAGTACCTTTTGTATGGGTAAATCATATAAAAGGTACTTGGTTTCTAGATCTTGTATCCGGTGAAATATTGCATCCCCTGGAGCGTACCAATACCCGGTAGGTATATTGGGCGCTTGGCTCAGTTATATGTCGAAACTATGTTGGAGGAATATAGCCCCCTCCCCCCTAGGCCCTAAACAAGAACCGAAGTTTTATTTATGGTCTAGTGGTAAAAAAGCCTGTATTTTTTTCTCCCACAATATATACCCCTGCCTAGCCCACATCAAGTGTAAAATCTCTCTTTACTTAGATATCCGATCCAACCATGAAAATCTTGATGATCCACGGTATATTGAACGCCAGAATCCCGCAGTGCCTACGAAGTAAACTTAACCACTACTCCGTAGGATCCCGCCAATCGGGCGAACTCTTCCGAGCAAAACTCCAAGCCTTAGAAAAATTAATCCACCGAGCCCTTGGCCCTCTCCAGCCGGGAGTTGAACTCGTGTATCCAACAGCTCCATTTGCTCTACAGCCCTCCTCGGGTACCACATCCGACCTGCGCAGTCGGCACGGTGCGTGGAGCTGGTTCGAATCCGAATCCATTGACGGTCTTTACCCGGGACTAGAAGGCGGCCTGGAATCTATTGCGTCTATTCTCAAGGATTCCGGGCCGTTCGATGGGATCGTCGGTTTTAGCCAGGGGGCCGCGGCGGCTGCCATGGTTGCCTCGCTGTTAGAAGGAAATCGAAAAGAGGCATTTGCTAGATTGGAAGCGGAGGCTGGGATTTCATATCCCGCTTGCTTCGCGGATCTTGAACACCCGCCGCTCAAGTTCGTGGTTAGTATTTCGGGGTATGTTGCTTCTCATCCGGATTATCGTGCTTTCTATGATCCTGTCATTCGGACGCCTGTGCTGCATTTTCTGGGGAGTATGGATACGGTCGTGGATGAGAGAGCGTCGATGAGGTTGGTGGAAAGTTGTCAGGAGGTGGGGGATGAAAAGAAACAGATTGTGATATGGCATTCTGGTGGACATGTGGTTCCAAGTGGGAAGCGAGAACTCGCTGTGGTTGCGCATTTTATAAAGTCTAACGTGAGCTGAGAAAAACTTCAAATTCAAGACCCATTTTTGTCCAATAGCTGTGTGCAATAAATTCGTAGAGGTGTTTGCTGGCACTATGCGCAAGGATGCTGTTGAATTAAGAGCTGGACTAGTAATTGAGAACTATGGGAATTGGAAAAGTTTGATACTTTGATATTGAAATTGAGCACTTTATGTGTATATGGTGATTTCCAAGACATGCTTTAAAACAGACAAAAAGATTTAATCGTGAACTTCGTGTTTAAAAATGACGCTGAGTCCCCCCCCGAGAGATGTTGTTCGCCAGGCTAGAATACAAAAAAAAAAAAGGCTATACAAATGCAGATGCCTGGCCCAACAAGGCCGATATGAACAAATCACAGCTTACCGCTGTGGACGGTAAGCGTCGTAGGAGGTGTACGGGGGCTCATCGTCCTGGCCGACAGGCCCATACCCACCGGTCCGCCAGCGACCGAGCGGATTCGTGATATCCATCTGCCCAGGAGCCTGTGCATGGGTGAGTAGTCTGGACTCCGCCTCATCTGTATTTGAGTATGCTCCCGTGCCACTGTCGCCTCGTGATAGCGGCACACGGAAGGCCGGATGAATCAGTCCAGTCGGGTCGGAGTGTTCATGCGCATTGTGTGTATGTAGAGGTGGGATTGATGGCAAAGAGGGTGCCGGTGATGAGGCACGTGATGAGCTGGGAGACCACTCGCCTCTCATAGTACTGCGGGGTGTGTGCGAGCGCTCTGTCATCAGATCCTCGGGTCGGCCGTAGATGCCGCCTCCGAACTCTTCCCGGAAGTCTGCTCGATCCTTGTAGTACGAGAAGTCTAGATGGTTCTCCGGGACGACCTCGAATGGCGCTGGTTCGGCAGACTTGCCGGGCTGCGATGCAAGCATCGGGTTCATTGCAATGTCCGAGTACTCGCCGCCCGTGTCTCCCTGGTCTAAACGACCCTGGTAGATTTCCTTTAGTGCTTCGGCTGCCTTGGCGTGCACCATAGGTGTCAAAAGTGGCTTGTACAGGGCAGGGTGTCCGAACTTGGTGTTCAGACGGTCGGAGGCCTTCTTGTCGGAAGTGTTCGCGCCTAAGGCCTCAGCATCGCTTAGGTTTGAACGATTGTAGAACTCGCAATCGGAGTCAAACGTCTTCATGCAATAGATCTTGAATCCAATCATCAAGAAAGGCAGAGGGGCCACGCAAAACACCATGTTCCACGTGCCGCTCGACTTGGCAACGAGAGCGATGATCACGTTGGCAAGAATAGTAGCGAAGATCAGGCGATTGAATAAAACTCGCCAAAACGCACCGCCAGACTCATTCTTAGTCACAAACACGTACATCAATAGATACTTCTTCAACATGGCATCCACACCAAAGTACAATGCCGTCACCGGTAATACAATAGGTTGCAAGGTAGCGAAACAGAAAGCCACGGTGGCATAAAAGAGGAAGTAGTTGTAGTAACTGGCGTAGTCGAATGGTGGCGGTGCGGTCCACTCAATTGCCTGTCGGGGTGTGGGTGCGAGGAACGTCTTGGCGAACCAGACCCAAGCCATGGTAACCAGCTGCACAAGATCGATAGCAGCACCGAGATTGCGCTGCAAAAGATACGTCACCCAGAACGGTGACACGGTGCATAGAGCGCTTACCAACTTGGCATACATCCGGCTTTCCAAGATGGCTTGCCAAGCGTCTTCGTGGTTTTGGGTTTTATCAACCACGAACGACACGAAGTACCAAGCCGCCGAGAAGAGTGAAAAGACGATCAGGTTGTTAAAAACGAAGAACGCATACAGATGCCCCAGCACGTGGCGCTCTCGAGATGTTTTAGTCTTGCTGCCACCTTGAATAGAAAGCCGACGGAAGATGACCGGAAGCGCCAGGTATACGAGCGAAGTCAGTGCAGGCGACGCAATACCCTGGACAGCAGCCCAAACTGTTGGGTGCCCTGCCAGCGAGGTCTGGAACGCCGGCCATACCAAACCCAGATTTGACAGGTTGGACAAGAAAATGGCAATCAGACCGTTAGGAACAATCCACACAAGGGTCAAGCATGTCACCCAGATGACATTGACCAGTCGTTTCCATTTGCGTGCCGATTTGGAAAGTGGAAGGTTTTCCCAGATGAGATCACTGGGCCGCGGCGCAAGAGTAATAGTGGTGCCCTCAGGGCGCTTACGGCGTGCGTTCCATGCCACAGCATGAGCGTGCTCGATATTGTCCCAGCTGGCAAAGCCGTAGGGCATTGCGTTTCTGCGATCTATCGACGCACGTCCATGCTTGATTTCCTCCTCCAAGACGCGAATCCGGACAGATAGATAATCGATCGCGTCCACTTTGCCGCCGGGTAGTTGATTGCGTTGTCGGCGAGGGGGACGTAGAGTCGGTCTTTTCGCGGGCAATCGGTCTGGGTTCTTAAGGTATTTTGCCAAAACGGACTCGAGTTCTCGGACAACCTCTTCATGTTCTTTGATGATCCTGGGTAAATCCCTGACATTACGGCCAATCGCGGCTCGTGGGAGGGCCGCGGTTGGATTAACCTGGTCTGTCAACCGCAGGATGCCTTCGTCGGTACGACTATTGGGAGGGATGTCCGTGATCATCAAGGTTCTGGCATGCAGACTGCGCTGATATTCAGAGCTTTGGAAATATTGCCTCCGCAGGTTCCGTACAGCGCGATAGTTCCTCCACAAAAAGAAAACAACAATAAGATCAAAAGCCCAGGCACATACCACTTGACTCCAAATAGCCGTGGGATTGGTGATGTTGAGGGGCGTCATCATATTGAAGGCGGCAGATGCCGATGAGTCGGTAGCACCCTTGCTCTGTGTGACATTGACTGGTATCATGACGAGGCAGCCGATTATGCTGAGAAAGATGAAGATGTTGCGACACATTTTGGTAAATCGGAGGAAGATTGCGGCGTCCAGGCCAACAGTCTCGATCAGCTGCGGTTCCCGCGTATTGATGACCGGTTTGACCCAGGCGAAGAAGCCCTTGCCCACGGGGGGTGGGGTGTGTTTGAGGTCTGCATGCTTGACTTTGGGCGCATAGACAAGCGAGTGACGGGGTCGAATGAGGGAGAAGAGGAGGGCGAGGAGGACAGTGACGCCGATCGAGGTGCCTAGTGAGGCCCAAATAGCAGTAACTGTAAACTGTAGCTTGTCAGCATAGTGTTCTTTCTCTCCGGAAACAATTTGAACTTACTGCGGAGCGGAATGGATTCGCAATCAGTTCGAGGAAAGTATCCTTCCCATCCGTACGAGCATGTAAGCTCAAGTGATGTAGATCCATTACGTCAAAGCAGAAACGAGTGGCGGATCCGGCATTAACGAGTGGCCGGAGGAAATCAAGAACCCAGCATGAAGATGAAAGGGAATAGATTAAAACGAGGGGAAAGGGAGATTCTAAAAAGATGGGAGAAATAAGAGGTGAGACAAAGATAATGCGCACGCATGAAAGAAAAAAAGGTGGACTCCGTTTGGCCTGAACTAGTTATTATTAGAATTTGGTCATGGAGTTATTGGATTCTTGGCCAGACTTAGCGTCGCTGATCTCCGCCGTTGGAATAAGGAGCCACCAAGAGCCACTTTTCTTCAATATGAAAGTCCCTCACACCGAGTACCTGAGTACAATCAATGCCGTTCCCACGGCTCTGAAGATCAGATTTTGCGTCAACATCAACTGGCGTTCACAGTGGTGCCCTGACACGTTTCATCTGTTCGCTGACCCATCCACTATCATATCATTGGCAGTCCACCAGCTTATGTCAAGTGGCACACCAATCAGTTGCCCAAAGTAGAAAAAGTCTGGAACATTGCAATTGTTGGGCCCAAGGTACCACAGTACCACACAAGACATGAGGTGGACTCATGTAGGTACGTTGTTGTGCCACCCTTTGGTGTTCCTGGCGTCCAAAGGCAGTTTGAGGGGGTTGTCGGAGCATGACGACCGGCATACCGGGGGATTTATTAATCCTACACATTTTTGTAATTAATGTTATGTAATCATGGCTCCATATAAATTGTACCAAGAGCCGATACAGAAATACAGAGAGTTGAATACCACTGATTGGACCCCTACATTTACAATACAGACCAATCCGACAGTTATGAGCCCGGTTCGCATCGAAGAAAGCATTACTATTTGAGATATAGTATCTAGTACACTACTAGAAGCCTGCTTTCTACCCCTTGAAACCTCCTAGCTACCCCTGAATTAGCAATTGTGAAGCTATTCCCAGCTACCCCTGAATCCAGCAATGGAGGCAGCATCAATTCTCTCCGCCATGAAGGGCGAAAAACTGAAGGACTCGCCGCAGTGGCTCACTTGGTTTGCAAAAGTGCAGCTATATGCCATGCAAAAGAACGTATGGGACCTTTGCAACCCAGATCCCCCGACGACAACCGAATCCCAAGCAATAAGATCTATACCTCTCCAAGAACCGGTGGAACCGGAATACCCAGAGGACGGCGATGACAAGGATCGAAGGATTTGGCGAGATCGAATGGACGTGTATAAAATGAAGTACACGAAGTGGGAGAAGCAAGCAAAAGGACTAAGTGATGTCAACGAGTACATCCTTACCTACCTCGACCCAATGCATCACCTTGCTCTGATCACATATCGTACTCCGTATGAGAGGCTTGTATACCTAAAGACTAGATTTGCTCGGTCAACGGCGTACGAAGAAGAAATCCGTATGAATTGGAAGGTCTTTGCCATGCAGAAACCAACCGGTGATATTGAGCAGTGGCTTCAAAAGTGGAATTCACTAAGAGAGCAAGCTATTAGCCTCGGCATTAGCGATGCAGATTCCAATCGAGACTTCCTACATGCAGTTAAAGAGGTACTGCCAATCTGGTGGCAAGGAAAATACCAAGAGATTGTTATGGATAAGAAGAAATATGACACTCGAGATCTTCTTGAATCATTCCGTGCAATGAATCGGGAGATAGGCGTCAAAACTGTGACCTCAACTAATGCTCCAAAAAGTGCTTTTTCAACCTGGCAAGGTCATCGAGAAGCAAAGCCGGAAGCGAAGCAAGAGAAGCTTCCATTCGAGAAGAGAAAATGTCCATGTGGCAATGGTCATCCACACCACAAGGTGGCCAACTGCTGGCTCATGAATGAAGCTATACGCCCAGAAGGATATACCCTAGACGAAGGGAAGCTAGAGAGAGCTAGAAAGAAGCTAGCAAATGATCCAGGGTGGAAGCAATGGGTCGACAAAGCTGTCAATGAAGCTAAATCAAAGCATCATGAATCTGCAAACCACGTTAGCTTCGCCACCACCTACCAGAGTAAGCAACAGGGCAGGCCTCAGAGCAGGCCTCAGAGCAAGCCTCAGGGCAAGCCCCAGGGCAAGCACCAAGGCAAGCTACTAAGTGAAGCTATACAGATTGGCAAGCATGCACTCTCAGCTGCAAAGACTGGCGAGCTCTCTCTCCGCAATCGATGGATTCTTGACACTGGGTCCAGTTCACATGTATGCAATAACAGAGCACTGTTTATTGATTTTACGCCGGAAGTCATAGATTTGACAACTGGTGACAGTACTACGCAGGTGCTAGGGAGAGGCAAAGTTCGACTAGTCGGCAAGCATCCACAGAAAGGGAGAATGGAAATCACATTGAGTGATGCTCTCTACTCGCCTAGCTTCCATACAAATCTAGTGTCGTACGCGATGCTAAAGAAGAAGGGGGGCACCTGGTGTCAACGTACAAACTGCATCCGAGATCCAAAGGATCTACCTGTTGTCAATGTACATCTATGGGACCAGTTTAACCTCTGGATTTTCGATGAACCAGGAGAGGTTCTACCGCAACAAGCATATGCCGTAAGCGCAAGCTCACTAGTACCGGTACCAAGAGTATCAAGAACGTCAGTAAAGCCGCAGAAATCAGAGGCATCCCCCGACGTCTGGCACCGAAGACTTGCTCATATTGAGCCCCGTGCCGTAGCTAAGCTTGCTACTATGGTAGATGGTATAGTCCTCCAGGAAGCAGAGCAAGAAGAAGCTTCATTATGCCAAACCTGTCATATTGGGAGAGCACCAAAACAGATCTCTCGCCGGCCAGTAGGACGTACTTTTGGACGATTTGGAAGGATCCACTTTGATCTCATACAACTGCCGCTAGCATACAATAGACACCGATGGATATCTCATTTCTATATGGAAGGAGTACGATTCCATTGGATAATGACACATGAAGTGAAGCCTGAATGCCAGCTGGCGATCAACCAGTTCGTACAGCTAGCAAGGAATCAGTGGAATCTACCTATCAAGGCATTTCACTATGACAATGAAGCTGCAGCAGGCAAAACAGCGGAGCACAGTTTGACAAGCGATGGTATCTTGATATATCATACTCCACCCGGCCACTCAGAGATGAATGGGTATGCCGAGAGATCTGGCGGGATGATCATTACCCGTATGCGTATGCTCTCTCTTGAAGGCAAGCTTCCGAAAGACCTATGGCCTGAATTCGCAAGCGCTGCAGTGTGGTTATTGAACCGTACCCCTACATACATTGCTTCTGAGAACAAGTGGTTAATACCATGGGAAGAAGTAAGAAGAGAATTTGCTCCAACAGCCCCGAAGATCAATCTAGCAAATGTTAGATTATATGGAAGTTTGGCGTACTGCCGCATTGAGAGGCAGATCCAGTCAGATAAGATGAATCCAAGAGCAGAGGTCGGCTTCCTAGTCGGATACTTGGCATCTAATATCTACAAAATCTGGTTTCCACACAGTGGGAAAGTGAGGTATATACGAGATGCAGTCATTGATGAAGCACGTAAATACTCGCCGGACTATGAGAAATCTCAGCCTATTCCACTACCATTAGTGAGAGAGCCAGAAGAGATTACGCCCGACGAAGTGGCGCAAATCATCAACCATCAGATCGCTAGCCAGGAAGCAACTAGTACGCCGGAAAGTGAGCATCAAAACCGACAAGATGAAACCGACGATGCTCTACCAGATGCTCTTCCAGATGCTCTACCAGATGCTCTTCTAGATGCTCTTCCAGATGCTCTACCAGATACTCTACCAGATACTTCACAAGATATTCAGCTAAGTGAGGTTGACTACCGAGAGATCACCCCACTTCAGGGGGTGAGCAGGCAGGCATTAATGCCTACCCCAATAAGCCTACCACCTATACTTCTGACCTCGGTCAGAAAAGAAGCCGGTGAGATCCAGGACATACAGAAGGATCAAGATCCATCACCATTAACCCCACCAAATGAAGAAACTGGCTTACAGCAAGGGGTGGAAACTGGCCCTGATCAGGGGGGTGGATACGCATGATCTAGATGATCAACTGCTCAGTGAAGATCAGGCCCATGAAGAAGCCTATGAAGAAGCCAATGAAGAAGCCAATGGAGAACCTAATGAAGAACCCAATAGAGAGGTGGAAAATGAGCTAGAAAGACAGCTCCAGGCAGAACTGCTAGCACCAAGCAGAGAGATCTCCAGCAATATAGATGCCAGCAACATACTAAGTGGACGTCGAATACGCAAAGCAAAACAAGATGACGATTTTGCATATGCAACCACTATAGTACAGGGTATTGACGAAGAAGAGCCACCGGCTCTACTACATGCATTTGCAGCTGGTCTATACGCCGAGAAACCAAACGCTCGCCGCCATCGAGATGATCTCCCACCACCACCCAAGTACTGGAAGGATGTCATAAATCATCCTTTTCAGCAAGGTTTTCTCGCAGCAATGAAGAAAGAGATCCACTCTCTATCTGAAAAAGAGACATTCGAAGTCATTGAAAAGCCAAAGGATCGAGGGATACAAATCCTTCCCTTACTATGGGTTTTTGCATACAAATTCGACCAGGACGGTTACCTTTTGAAATTGAAGGCTCGAATCTGTGTTCGTGGGGATCTTGAGACGATTACCTATGAAGAAAAGAGAGCTGCTACGCTAGCAGCAAGAACAGCAAGAATGATCTTTGCACTAGTCGCTGCCTTTGACCTAGACCTCCGTCAGCGAGATGCTGTCACTGCATTTCTGAATAGCAAGCTAAGCCAAGAGAAACCGACGTATACGCAGATGCCAGAAGGGTTCCAGTCCCTAGGTAAATGCTGGAAGCTTCGTCGAGCATTGTACGGCTTACGGATCTCGCCACGTCTTTGGCAACAAGAAGCAGCTAGTGTACTCCGAAAACTAGGTCTGCAACAAGCACCAGAAGACCCTTGTGTCTTCGTCGGAGAAGGGCTAATAGTCTTCTTCTATGTGGATGATATCTTAATTGCTAGCCATGCAAATGCTAAGGCAAGAGCCATGCAATTGGAGCGAGATCTAGAAGCCCACTGGGAGCTGACAGATCATGGAGAAGCATCATGGTTTCTCAATATCCGAATCATTCGCGATAGGAAGCAGAAGAAGCTCTGGCTATGTCAAGATAGCTATATGACAAGCATTGCTACCCGCTACAATTTGACAGATCGACCACCTGTCTATACGCCACTACCAGTTGACGAATTGACGCCTTACCAAGGCGTAGCCACCCCGAAGGAGATCCTTCTCTATCAAAAGAAGGTTGGATCCGCAGGCTATGCCACCACTATCACTAGGCCAGATGCTGCAAAGGCCACCGCTCGACTAGCTCAGTTCTTGACGAATCCAGGGCCCCAGCACCACCAAGCAGCTGACCGGGTCATCAGTTACCTATATACTACCCGGAACCTAGCTATTGAATATAGTGCAGACGCAGTAAGCACTGGAATCGATTCCATACAGTTCGCAAGCGATGCTTCATACGGAGATCACCCAGATCGAAAGAGCTCTGCAGGCTACATCTGTCAAGCTTATGGTGGACCAGTTGACTGGAAAGCGAGCAAGCAACCCACCGTGACAACGTCAACCACTGAAGCAGAGCTGCTAGGCCTATCAGAGACAGGGAAGCAACTTCAATGGTGGCGTCGACTACTAAAAAGCCTCGGTTTTGAACCCTCCCACAATATGACGATCGACTGCGACAACGAGAGAACGATCAGCCTACTTACTAGTGAGGACACTGCCTTCGAAACGAAGCTTCGGCATGTCGATATTCATCATCATTGGCTTCGGCAAGAGGTTAGAGAAGGACGCATAATGGTGCGATGGGTGCCGACGGCGAGCATGGTCGCAGATGGACTCACAAAGATGCTATCTCGCCAGAAGCATGAGAGCTTCCTAAGGATGCTCAGGATGGTGGACATAGGCTATCTAATGGCCTAGTCAATTAAACCATGGAGATCAATATGCCGATCTAACAAGTCCAGCAATCCCATACTGGGATAGCTGAGGGGGTGTGTCGGAGCATGACGACCGGCATACCGGGGGATTTATTAATCCTACACATTTTTGTAATTAATGTTATGTAATCATGGCTCCATATAAATTGTACCAAGAGCCGATACAGAAATACAGAGAGTTGAATACCACTGATTGGACCCCTACATTTACAATACAGACCAATCCGACAGGGGTTTGTTGCCTGAGGCAATGATTGATGCCTGAATAAATCCATAACCTTTAACGGTCCTTGTTCGCAAGATAGAGTGAGCAATCCTCACGGTTGATTCTCTCCTAATTCCAAAAATAAAACAATAATAATAATAGGAGTAGCCGGCTGTGGCAATTTAACCGCAGAGTATGCGATTTGATAATTGCTTTGTGGTTTAGTCACTACTCGATTTCCTCCGCATTAAACACCACATAAATGTTATAAGAGCTACACTACCAGTAACGGAGATACATATTCCCGAAAGTTCGATCATATATGAAACACTACCCTTTCAATCAATTCCTATTCGTTGACCCCTCATTACTCTAGAGAATTGTGGCGAGGGCCACGAGGCTCCCGCGCGGCCAAGAATGCTGACAAAGTTCTACCCCGTGCATGATGTTCTGCACTTGAAGCTTGAGTTCATAGCCGAGCGCTCTGTATCACATTTGCAGGTGGTCGACTGAGACTTGAGGGTGTGACCGCAGGTATATGTTATCATGTTATAACACATCGTGTTGTTAGGAGAGTAGCCCTAGAGATATGACATTAGCTATACGTAATATCTTTACCCAGGACACTTAGTAAGAGAGCCCATGGGCATACTCTGGGCCTTACGAAATAGATTTATTGTTGTTATGCTTAGATTGGATGCAAGAGTCTTGAGATTAAATCTATAGAGAAATGTGAGGTTTTGTTCCGTTTATATATTCAGTCATACGACGATTTCAAATAACCTAGGATTGGGGAAGATGACTTCCTCATCTTGGCAGATGATCATGAGCCCAAGTCGATTTGTTTGCTTCGCTTTTTGAGCCAATTACGTGTTGGAAGCCCGGATCCCGTTATCCCGACGGGAGCAGCTGAGCGGGGTGAGCAAGAATCGCAGAGAGCTTCATACCACAACCAACGGTCTGCCAGCGCACGCTCAAGGCTGATTGCAGGGATGAGGACCCCTATCGCAACACCAGTAAGAAGTTAGGAGGCCTGATTTTGATTCATGCATTCCACCCTAAGAATGAGTTCAGCCGCACCGACTCGCCCAATAATACTAGACCGATCCATGGCCAGTGGCTTATGCACTACCGCGTGTGTCGCCCTCTACAGCCGGTCGAGTCTGTTGGTACTGGCAATCTGCAGAAGTGGAGAATATCTTGAGTGCAGTAAGAGTACTCCGTAGGTCTCGCCCATATCCGTTCCTTGACAGTTTTTTTTTTTTGGGTCGAGGGCCTAGACCCGTAGGTCGGCTGCGGGTTGAGGAATATCTGCGAGCGACATTTTTTTGGCCTCAATCCTATTTCCTGCATAGTTATTTCTTTGGAAATGAAATATTCTCTTCTACTTCAACCCAAACTAAAACATACCCCTTACCTTGATACAGCGCAGTCATCTAAGAAGAATTGTGTGTGTATATCTCGCTGTGGGGTCTTTGGGCAAGAGTAGCCCCAAAATTGACGCATAAGCAATGTCTGCGCGTAAAATCATTAGACTTCATTAGACTACAATGATCTTACGCATAGGCATTGCTTGTGAAAATGGTTGTTATATCCAGTCTCGGTTGAAACGCAGAAGCACACGAAAAACGCATTTAGAATACGTGTTCTCCACATAAGATGCTATGTAACAAAACGTAGCGTCAACTCGATGAATTGTGCTCATCATGGGCAAGCTCTGGAAAAACCAATTACACCTTCGATATTGCCATTCACCTCGCAGGCTTGGGCCAACACTTCATGTTAATGGCTTCTTCTGTCTACGTTCTCAATGGTATATGTATATGTCTAGTGTGCTTTATAATTTTGTATGTTTTTAGTTCATTCTTGTGCAAGTTTTTTTTATCAACGTTGTGAATCGTAGATGGTATTATTCGCTATTTACATCGTGATATCATCAAAAGACAGGAGTACCGCCTAGATGGAGTTGCATATAGAATAAGTGGCTCATAAGAATATTGGCACTTTAGTTCTTGGCAGCCTCTGCAACATTGTTAGTACTATTCTCTAACCAGCTTTGTTCAATGGTTTCAGCTTACCCTTGTGGACATCAGCCTTGGTGTTGTGGGAAAGCTCGTCCTTCTTGTCGACGAGAGCATCCTTGGCAGCGCTGGCGCGGGTGGAGACGTTGGCATCGCTGTTCTTAGCGACGCTCTTGTTGGCCTCCTTGGAAGCCTCAGCTCCAGTTCCCTGGACGGTCTCAGCGACGTAGTTGGCGGCTTGCTATAATGTTTGGTTAGTCAATGGTAAGAGGCAAGTACCAAGAGACTTGGGTTGAAAACATACCTTGACGGTCTCCATTGTGAATTTGGAAGTTGGAAAATGTGATTTGTTTGAAAGGGTTGAATGATATTAGTGGAAGATGACTTGTGTAGAAGAATAATTGAACTTCTGGGGAAGTTGAAGAGATATTTATATTGTTCTGGGTCCTATCCGGGGCAGGGGCAATGATGTCATGACGTCATTAGTGAAAGGGCCCGTACCTCGCGCAGCCCAGTTGCCAACTTCAGGTCAAGCATAGAATCTTGGAAGCTTGGTGGCTGTGACCCCAGGTCGATCCACAGTTTATGCTTTCTACCATTTCTAACCTTTCTTACATCACCGGTTACATGCATTGGGAATACAGATTTAGATCTACAACACTTGCATTGCACGCGTGAACATACTTTGCGGCTTTGATAGACACAGCTAACTCGAACATTCCATTTTATTCCATAACCAGTTCTTCAAATATGAGAGGCCATTCCAAATATCCCCAGACTGTTCCCAGATCCACCAACCTGGCTGCATGACGTATGGACATCTTTACCCCAACAATGCAACTACAGAATAGTTGGCCCGAGTACATTCCATGGATGGAATATTGGTATGCTGTCATAATAAGTAGTGGTCTATGGAAAATCATTTGGTGCACACCTGACTTATAATTGAGGCAAATTGAAGCGAATATTGTGCCTATTCATCAGCAATTAGAGTCATTGAAAGAAATACCTCGGCTTAAAAAGGCAAACCTTCCATTATGCTACAATGATATATTATATTATCCAGATGTGGTTATACGACTGCGGGGTTGAACACTGATTAATGCACACACTGTACAGTCCGATCTACTTGGTATGTACGCAGGTCATGACTAGCGCCGAGCTTTTTGTATGGGCCTATGACGTAGTTCATCTGAAGTCTTCCAGGGTCGTCTAGACTACCTGTGGGCCTTTGGAAGCACAGCTGTTCGGCGAGTTAGAGTCCCCGGTATCTGAATCCACCAATGATAGTGAAATATGAACTCCACAATCTATAGAACTCATCCTCTAGTCGTCACTAAGGAGGTCAAAACATTCATTTATGTTTATTTCCAAGGATTACTAGTTCCAATCGATCCTAGTAGAGATCCATTAAGATTTTGCCAGGAAGTCAGGAGCGATGCTGGCGTTCAAGGGTCAGCCCCAAGAGCCGTAAGACAAGCAATTTATATAGGTAGTTCGTACCTTCGCCCGTGAATTTATTGGAGATGGACAAGAATATTCTCCTTTGTTTCTCCTAGCCCTATAGGCCGCGATGAAATAGATCCTACAAGGAATAGAATTTCCAAGACGGCTTGTGCTCGCGCGATAACGGCTGATCTTGCATCGAAGCCCGCGCCAACTCGATTGGCATACAATTCCCCTTCAAAAACCGGTCATGAAATTCCTTCTCAGCAAGGAGCCCCGTCTCGACAGTCTCCTTCCGCAGTGCATATATTTGCAATGCACCCAGCATATACCCGGCTTGATATAACGGCGAGTAATCGCCATTCAATGATCGTCTCACTTCTCCTTCTGCAGTGGCACGTTCGTGTCCAACTTGATCAACGAGCAGATCAATGCACTCCTGAGGAGCCATCTGTCCAAGATGGAACTTGATGGAGAATATAATTCGGGCGCATCGATGAAGTCGCCAAAACAGCATTCCGATCCGGTTCTGCGGCGTCTTTTTGAATCGCTCGTCATTCCACAAAATGAATTCCCAGTACAAAGCCCATCCTTCAATCCAAAACGGTGTGTCAAATAGCTGGCGATAGGGTTTGTATCTCACAATCATGTGCATCTGCAAATGGTGGCCAGGTATCATCTCGTGGAAGACCGTAGCGCGGGAGAAATGGATGTTGTTCCCACGCATCCCCATCAGCTTGGATTCATGATCCATCTCATCGGTTGGATATGAGACAATGATACAGTCACCTCCGAGGAAGAAAGGGTTTACTTTCTGGCGCTCGGGCGACATCATAAACATCTGCCAGTTCTCCTTGGCAACCGGTGGAACGGTGACGAGTTGATGATCTTCGACAAAGGAGATTGCTTCCATCGTGAGATCTCGGACTAATTCGGTCTGTTTTCCAGGCTCGACAAAGTCATTCTTGACTTCTTCCAGGGCCTGCTTCCAGTTATCCCCGTACCCCATGCTGCGTGATGCCTTCTTCATTTCACTGACACACCATTTGAACTCCTTCTCTCCGATCGAGATTAATTCTTCCGGTGTGTAGGCAATCATTTCACCCAAGAGTTCGCTAAGTAAACCCTCCCGACCGATGGGATCCCCCACTATCGCATCTTCATTGCCTGGGCGGATGCCAGCCAAGTTCTCTCGGATACTTGCTGAAACATCTTTCAGGCCCTTTTCCACAACCCCATATGGATGTGATACCCACCAGTTGAATGACGGATCGTAGCCTTTGTAGAATACGAACCATTCTTTCAGGTTGGTGTGCAATGAGTCTATGTTTCTCGCCGCTCTAAATGCAATCGTTTTCTCCATCCGGATCTTGGTCGAGCCGTTTTTGACCATGTCTATCACGGCTGCGATTTGATACTGGGATTCAACAAGCTTCCGTGCAGCGTCCTTTGAATTCATCGACACTACCATGGCACGAGCCTCACACAGCTCCAACAGTGTGTCTGAAAATGGTAGAAGTAGTGCGGTCTTTTCATCTTGTTTAGAGTTGAGTTCCAACTCGCGCAGCTGTCTTTCTAGATAACCTTTTATCAGAAGATAATCTACCTTCCCTTGTTGATCGTAAAGATCAAAGGGCTGGCTGCGGAGTGAGTCGAGCTCGGATGTAAGGTAATCGCGTAGCTTCTGGGTTCTTTTGCGAGATATTTTGATGGGGAAAAATTCTTTGATATCTTTGAGGTCCTCGGTGATGCGCTCAATCCTGTCGCGTATCGTGTCGGCTTGTGCACGTTGGATGGCGATGCCCCTAGGTGAAGTGACAGACACCATGATAGGCAAAATCTGGTTATCACTCTGTTTTGTTTGGGAATATATGAGTTTGCTTGTGTTTTAAAAATTATTTTCTTTCGAAGTTCATTCTTAGAGGCAGGAAATCAGAAAGAAGCAACGTGTAGTGAAGAAGCGCTTTCCTAGAACTGGACTAACTCTGAAAAAGAAAAAGCATAGACTCCCGGCTAAAGTAGAACCTAATTGATCCATTTGATTAAAATAAATAGGTCCTACAATACTACATCGGGTGTCGTAACCGACATTATACCTTATATCGCCGGGTGGTCCGAATGGTTGATTTTTGGTCATATCGTACAGAGTAACCTTATCTTATAAAAGTTGAGCGGTCTTTCTCCGCGTTTATACCTAAAGCAGTACTTTGTTATCTCGACGGGATGATACCCTAACGTGGGCAGTCCAGGGGAGGACTAGGGGTAATGCTAAAATGCGGGGAAATGAATCAAATGCTACGTTGCGTTTGGAGGAGCTACATTGTGTTTGGAGGAGAAACTTATTCTCCTAAGGACTGGACCGGCAAGTGGACCGGCCCGGGTTAACTTCTACATATATACTTTCATAGCTGGTGTGTGCAGCCATTGCCAAGTCTAGATAAGACAATTCAAGCTCAATTGACGCCGTATACAGATTACAGTTCTCTTAGCTGTTTGCTATGATAGATAGTCCCCTTGAACCTCCTAATCTCTCTTTCTCTTTCTCTTTCTCTATTTCTTCCTATCTACCAGAAATATAAGTATTGAATAATATCTGTCATGCCCAGAAAATTTTAATTTTAAATCGATCGCCCAGTCAAATCCTAAGCAGGTTACCTGCTACCCTATTGTCGCAGGATGGCTTCACATCTGCCTGTCACGGAGGGCCTTGACCCCTCCCAGCTCGGCATGCCAAACGAGAATGACAAGTCAGTAAGCAATATGATCCAAGAGTTACACAAGGTTCAGCTCTCCCACCAGTGGGATCCAAATTTGCCACAGGAGCAGATCGATGCCATTAACGAGGCAGTCAAGACAGGCGATCAGGAAAAGGCTGCCGAGTTGGAAAAGGCTCTCGCTCAGGAGTCTCAGTATGAGTCTGTTCGTGCCGCGGTGCGCAACACAGATGGCGGAGAAGTTGCAAACACCGTACGCGCCTGGGTGCTGGGCATGTTTTTCACTACTCTTGGAAGTGGACTCAACATGTTCCTTAGCATGAGGTGGGCTTTTATTCTGATGTAGCCTTTGAGTAGGAAATTGTTTGCTCATTTTGCGCTAGGAGTCCTGCCATCTCGTTCCCGGCCATCGTCGTGCAGTTGCTGGTCTATCCGATGGGTTGTTTGTGGGCCAAAACAATGCCGACTCGGAAGTTCAATACATTTGGAGTGGAATGGACGTTGAATACCGGTCCTTTCACCATCAAAGAGCATGCAGTTATCACAGTAAGCTCCTGAAAGTTGATACTCAAAAATTAATAAAGCTGACGTTTTGTTTTCAGATCATGGCAAAGTGGGTGGATCTTGATCGCATCGAAGCTTTGACATCAATGCTAAGCAATGTATAGTGTGTCGATCGGATATGCTTATTGTACGGATGCCCTCTTGGCATTGAAAGCAAAGCGTGAGCAATATCACTGGTGCTGAATAAATATTGGTCTAACATACACTTTCAGCACTTTATAATATGGAACTTGGATGGGGATTCCAACTTTTATTCGCTTTGAGCAGTCAGGTTGTTGGCATGTCACTAGCTGGAATTTTCCGCCGGTTCCTCGTTTGGTAAGCCGGAACCCTCTCTGCTAAGATTGCCAATACTCACAATGTCAAGGCCCGCTGCTATGATGTGGCCTAGTCAATTTGCGAACACTTCCTTGTTTTATGCTCTTCACGACTGGAGCTCCGAGGATGAATCAGAGACTCACGGGTGGAGCATCTCACGATACCGATACTTCCTATATGTGACAATTGGGGCTTTTGTTTGGTATTGGTAAGGCTCTCCTATTCCAATCCGAACTACATATGCTAATTTCTTCGAACTGCAGGATACCGGGAGTCCTATGGCAAGGCCTAT